TTCCTAATGTTCATTTTGTTTCCGAGTTCGTCATATTATATAGTACGAACGCGTAAAAGGAAAATCAGTACGACTATTGTATTTTAATATTGTGGAAGCAATCTTCTCCTTTTTGAAGTGAAAAAGTTTTTAACATCGTTGTTATTTGAAACTCAATGAAACGAAAAAGCGACGCTAAAAAGAAACAAATATATAAATATATAGGATATGCCTACAAGAAAATGAGATAGAATCTATACTAATATAAAAATTGGAAGAGGTTTTTTGTTTGTTTGAACACGCTAATCTCTGGAACTAGCAGTCCGATTTGTGATAAATTGTTTTTGTACATGATAGCCAGATTCACGAGGAATACTATGGTCAGTTAGCCTTAAATATTGATTTTTGTTGAGCAAGTTCGAAGAAAAAGCGTTCCCGAATTGCTTTATCCACGTACGTTGGCGTAAAGGTTAGTGATAGGTATGTGGCGGCGCTTTCGTCGGGCCACAAGCGAAACATATCGAAGCCTAAATCGCGCTATCAAAGAGTTGGCTGTTCCCAGAGCAGAACACCTTGCCTAGCGGGAGATCTTCCCCTTTTCTTGTCACGGCCAAAGGTATACTATGTTCTACTAAAATATAGGTCTTTTCTCCTTTTATAAAGAGTACGTGATGCCATAGGTTTATTTGTTATACATAAGACACAATAAGGTATTTTGTGACAAAAATATTGATAATTAGAAAATTAGGCAAGGCATATTAATCCTTACGAACGAAATATATTTCATTATCAAGACAATTCGATGAAGGTAATCTTTGCTCTTTATAGCATGTTATTTGGACGCATAGACAAGAGATAATGAAAAATTTAAATAATTCAACACTAGGCTCGGCGCGCAAACGACGCCTAGCCACCCGATGAGAACCGAGAGAAATCAGCAATGAACGTCTCTACTATTTGCGAGGTGTCATGTCGCGTGGCTTAGGGCGTGATATCCGCGGTTAATACCGCGGAGAACAGCAAGTTCAGTAGAAAGTGTTTCCTATTATCTCGGACTACGCGGTATGCGGATACTTTAAAAATTGTTAATATAACTTTTAACTGTTAAAATAAAGAATTAAAAAACATTCAAATAAATAAAATTAATTATATTCAATAAAATTATCATATCCAAACCATTCCACGAATTCATATTTTACTGATTTATATTAAATTGTTTGGGTCATCTAGTGTTTATTTTATGGATTACCTTGAGATTCAATCAATTTGTACTATTAACTAAATAAAATGTACCTAAATATATCAGATACATTAGGAACTATTTAAATAAATTGAAAGTACCCTAGATAGGTTGTAGTTTTGCAATCGGTGGAAATTTGAGCTGCTGCAATGTTACATAATATATATGATTCATTTGAATTATGATGTACATTGTTTTAATTTGATCACCGTCATCATCATCATCATCATCATCATCATCATCGTCACCATAATCATATCAATATCACTATATTTAAGGCAGACCAGGTCTAACACTAAAGTGTGCATTATTTTATTTCATTATGTTCTATATAATATATCAAACGATTGTTTATTAAAACCAACTTCTCAATTAAATGACATTGTGTAACAAAACAACTTTACCTCAAAAAAAAAAATTAATACTAGACTAAAACTATTACGGAATTAAAATAACTAAAACTAAACCTTAAAAATAAAATAAAATATTATATAGTAATATATTATATAGTAGTTATGTCTTTTGTTTAAACGGGGGGACTGAGGTGTTTGACGTCCCATAACTTCATAGTTAACCACGGCCACCTTCAGTTTTAAATTATTAATTTCCGGTCCGATGGTCCGCTGAATGTAGCTTACAGTGTTATGACGTCTTGCAGTTGTATGCTAATTTCATTAGAGAAGATGGCTGGGTGCTACCATCTGCTTGGGATCCTATAATTAATAAAATTAATTCCTTCAAAATTATAGCATTCTTGCCTTGAAGTTGCACATATCCGAAACATCTCTGGTTTTGTTTTTCAAAATAGGAACCACGACGGTTCTCATCAACTCTTCCGGCAAACAAGAGCGTCTCACACAACAAGAGCGCCAGTTTGTAGTCATACGGTATAATTAAAAAAATACTTTTTTCTTTTAATTTCCTTTATATTAAATTAGAAGAATGTATGTTAAGTTGTTTGTGTAATCATATTTTATATTTAATTATTAATACATTTTATATAAACTTATATATTCTATTAACGTTCAATTTATTACAAAACAGCGACGTCGCGTCGTTGCAAAATTCGTGTACATATCGATTGCGAAAACATTTAGCAAGTATAGTCTAATTAAGCATGAAAAACATCACAGTTTAGGTTTTACCCGTGCTTTTGGGAATTTTGGCCAATTTAATCAATGACGTATGTATTCTTGTCACCTGGCAATACCAACAATTAGATGTTATAATATCTGATGTAAATTGCTTTCTGTGACGATTAATGCAACCTGTGAATACGAATTTCCTATTAGTTGTTTATTTATTATTATTCTTTGTTGCTACACTTACATTTGTTTAGCAATGGACTAAACGAGAAAAACTATCCTATAAAAAATACTTGTTCCGTGCAGGATTCGAACCCACGGCTCTCAGTGCTGCAACCCATTACTAAGCCACTGCGCCAAGTAGCCGTCAAACTTTGATTCTTAATTAAGGAAAGGTAGATGTAGACAGCTTCCACTTGCCATCAGGTGCTCATTCGTCACACTTAAAAGCAATATTAATAGTCAGATCATATGTGATAAACAGTTTAGACAACTAAAATGACAAGACTGCGTAGTCGTAGGTGCTTTGTATACACGTATTACTGAAATAAGCTCTTTTAGAGCAATTGTGCTATTTAATACCGTCTGTGTTTTAGTAATGGTGAGTAAGTGCTTTCGTTTTCTATATCAGCCTGTAAAGCAGTGTGCTGTCTCTCTAATGAGAGAGACTTATGTCCAGTACGCTCTCTTCGTAAATTTTCTCTCAAGGGACAATTTGCTAAAATCACCACGCTTGGCATGTGGACGATCGCAGCACGATAGCAGTATTGCACTTTTGACATCAGTCCACGTCGCTTGTCTGTGATTTACATCTATACGTGGTAGAGCCGCACTTCATTGTATTACGGTTGCAGCACGAATGGTTCGACTCGACCAGGGAAGTATCATGCTCGCACGGAATACCAACTTGAAATAGCAGTGAAATACTACAATTTATTGCTATTTTCATTTATTTTATTTCTTTATTCTTCATTGTAACACCTTACAACTAAGGTAACAATAACAAATAAACCCGTAGCGTAAAAAATAAAGGTTGACTGTGGTCGTTTGTCACAAAGATTCAAGATTTAAAAAAATCTGTATCATTTATTTAGAAGTCACGTTAAGTACAGTTTTATTATTTGCACTCATCAAATGAAACAAGCTTTCCGGCATCAGCACTAAAAAAATTATCGCGTCATAGGGTTAGAAATACTGTACATAATGAATGAATTAATTAATCCATTCAAGTAATGCAACCACTATTGTTTCAACAAGTTTTCCTCCGAATTTTTAAAAGAATATCAAGTAAAAACGTTGTTATGGACCCTTGTCATTATTGTTTATAATTATAATTTTCTAAAATATTCTCTGAAAAAAGCCAGCCAAGTTCGAGTCGGACTCGCGAATTATGGGTTCCGTACAATCGTAAAACACGTTTCTAGTAGGGGGCTCCCCCTTTAATTTTTAATTTATTTTAATTTCTATTATTTGTTGTTATAGCGGCAATAGAAATACATATTCTGTGAAAATTTCAACTGTCTGCCTGTTAAAGATCATTAGATACGTGGTAGAGCCATGCTGCAGCTATATTAGTAGTATAGTTGTAATACGAATGGGTCGGCTCGACCGGGGAAGGACCACGCTCTCACAGAATACCAGCGTAAAACAGCAGCTTAACGCTGCTGTGTTTCGTATGGTGAGTGTAGAGAACCGGAGCCCATTTTTACTGGAAAAGTCTTCCATCTTAGTCCATCTTAGTCCTGACGGATGGCAACGCATCTGCATTTTGATTCGCAAACGAGGATAGATGTAGATGTCTATGGGCCACAGCTACCACATACCATCAGGTGGACTGTGTGCTTGACACCCTATCCTATAAAAAAGGATACATCGTACTGACAGACAGACGGACGGACGGACAGCGGAGGCTTAGTAATAGGGTCCCGTTGAATACCCTTTGGGTACGGAACCCTAAAAATTAAATTTGTAATAGATAGAATGCTCAGAATCACAGAACAAAAATTGTAAAGAGCGATTAGTCTTAAATAAGCCTCGTACCGAAGTGTAGAACGGACCCTCACTAGATAGAATGGGGACGAGAAGCAGGAAGTCGATGGATGCAGTTGGCTCAGGACTATGCTTTGTAGCATTCCTTGGGAGAGGCCTGTGTTCGGTAGTATACTTGTGATGGGGATTAACGATGATGATGAAGCTATTGACGCTATGAAAAAGAAAGCTGAGTTGTATAGAATAATTATTAAATGCTTGGAAGTTCCAATTGAGGTCTAATGCTTGATCATCGTATGAAGTATCACTGATTTCCGATCCTGTTTACAGATTGAAAATTGATTCTTGTATGCAATGAAACGCAAATAGATAGAGTGATGACTCATACATACGTCTTATTGTAGCCAAGATTGCAAATGTATTACTTATACAAATATTAAAGGTGGACGTGACATGATATCTATAACGTGAAACGCCCAGGAAACGTGTAATAAACCACAGCCCGTGTATTTTGGTTACCCTTGTTATTCCTCTTTAGTGTTTTGTGAATTAAATTAATGTTTTGCAAATAAGTTTGTTTACAAACAGATTGACACCATTTAGGTATATAAAACTGGAATGTGACATAACTAAACACATAACAAATCAAGATTTCAGTGTGACTAGTCTACTTTACAGATTTGAGGACTACGTTATATATTAATAAAATGATGACAGTAAAAGTGTTTGCTTTGTTTTTAACTATATTTGCATTAGTATCGGTAAGCTTCTTTTCATTTAAGTTTATAAATAATTTATGATCTTTGATATCATCTAATATATTATAAAAAATAATTATTGTTGGTTTGTATTTTATGCGCTGCCACAACGTTCACATCAGATTGCGCAAAAACTTTGTCAACTTATTGCTTGCACTTGCGCGAAGGTTATAGGCATAGTACAATTAAATTATAGTAGGTGGGGCGCGTGTCGTACCGACATATTTATTTGAGAGTCATAATATGTCATTAAATTTCAATGAATGCATTATCATTTCTAATTTAACAATAAAACGATATTTCCACAAATATTTTTCTGCGTCAGCGCGCCGGGTATCAGCTAGTATCTTATAAAATATATAAACTGTTAGCCAAAATTAAAACCGACTACAAAAACTTAAAAATGAATAAAACTATTTCCACATAATATACGTAGCTTCTGAAGTCAGTGCTAGAGTTGTACAGATATAGTGTATTTAAGATTTACAAGTAAAACCCGACTTCAGAAGCAATCATGTGGAAAATATTTTATTTTTAATCGACTTTAAAAAAGGGGGAGGATTCTGAATTTCGTTTATATATATTCTTTATGTAATATGTTCGGGCATAACGTCTCTGTTTTTAATTCAGTTAATAAAATAAAATTATATGGTTCTCTATGTTAACGCCTTGAATACCACCTTCGGCATCATTTGTTAATCGCACGATAAATAATAACCATCACGTGTTTGGCGACAAAGGAAATCATCATAAGGAAAAATTGTACATCTGATAACATAAAATAAAAGATAGGGGAGGGGTAAAGTCCACTTGAGCAGAGTGACTGAATTTTCTAAAACACTAAACATTTTCTAAAAAGGGAAGAGGTTTGTTGTGTTGAAATGGTTCACTATGTATGTTTCCTTTGCTTTTCTGCCGACTACCAAAAAGGAGACGGTACTCAATTCGACTGTATGTTTTTTTTATGTGTGTACCTCATAACTTTTTACCTGGTGAACTGATTTCGATAATTCTTTTTTTATTTGAAAGCTGGTACTTCTCGTGTGGTTCTTCTTTTATATTTGATCAAGGTCAGACTAATAGTTTTTGAGTTATTCTTCATAACTTATATTGAAGTCGGCTGTACAAAAATTTTAATTTTAAATTATTTGTGTTCCCTTTGTTAGCTCTGAGGGTTTCGTATAAACTTAATAATGTGTGTAGATAGTTCATCCATTCCGACCGAGAGGTGGCGGTGTAAGAATATCCACTACTCTATATCATCCCATGGGTGTAGTCATCATTACAGCCCTTCACAAGTCCACTGCTGAACATAGGCCTCCCCCAAAGAATGCCACAAAGCACGGTCCTGAGCCACCTGCATCCATCGACTTCCTGCATGTCTTACCAGGTCGTCACTCCATCTCGTGGGGGGACGCCCTACACTTCGCCTACCGGTACGAGGCTGCCACTCGAGAACCTTTCTTCCCCATCGGTTGTCGGTTCTTCGAGCTATATGGCCGGCCCACTGCCACTTCAGCTTACTGATCCGTTGGGCTATGTCGGTTATTCTGGTTCTACTGCGGATATCCTCATTCCTAAGTTTATCACGCAGAGAAACTCCGAGCATAGCCCCCTCCAAGGCTCGCTGAGCGACCTTGAGCTTCCTCATACGGCCAGCAGTGAAGGACCACGTCTCAGTTCCGTAAGTCATCACTGGCAATACGCACTGGTTGTACAATTTCGTTTTAAGGTTTTGAGGTATGTCTGACGAGAAGATGTGTCGTAGCTTCCCGAACGCTGCCCAGCCGTTGAGTTGAATCCGTCGATTGACCTCTCGGTCGAAGTTGGACTTACCTAGTCAGACTATTTGTCCCAGGTAAACATACTCGTCAACAACTATGAGCTTAGTGCTCCCAACAACTACCGGCATAGGTGTGACATGGACATTAAACATGATCCATGGGTGTAGTAAGAGGAAACAAATCAGGAAAGATTTAATAAGGACTAAAAATAAAAAATTAACTACGGTTGCCAACCCACTTGCTTAGCGTGACAACTTTGGCAAATATCCCCCTCTATGAGGAAATCTATGGGGGAGGCCTTATGTTCAGCTGTGGACTTAAATAGGCTGTAACGGTACCGGTAATCGCGTAAAATAATATTTTAATGTGAAATAACTACAAATAAACGGTCTTCGAATTGTTCCCTTTAATTGTTCTGTGTAACTTTGCTATTTGTCAAATTTTATGATTCTAAGTCAACGAGAGGGATCTATAAGATCCCTCTCGTTGACTTAGAATCATAAACGTGTAGGTTCAAATATGAGTGAGTTTGCAAGTTTAAAATCATGTGACATAAATCGCCATATCAAACACTATAAACACACACTATAAACTTGTAAGGGGGCTATACCTAAGTATTTTATATTAATTTCAATTTGATACTGAGGTTACCGGTGAGGTAGCGGTTCCTGAGAAAAAGGGGTCTCGATAGACGAACAGACGGATGGACAATAAAGTCACCCTTTCATTTTTTTCTTTTGAGATAAGAAACGGTGAAAAGAAATACAATAACATCAATTGTATTATTTTGTATACTTACTAAAGCGAGTATTATTTTTTTTCCAGCTTGCTGAATGTCATTGGATTGGTGGTTGGGGAAGACCACCAGTAGTGGTAGTCGGTGGAGGATTTGGTTTCGGTTACGGTGGTGGATTTTATCGTCCCCTACCTCATCCGCCACCGCCGCCTCCATTCTTTTATTACCCACGATACCGGTGATAAAATTTAAATGATTTCTATGTACTGTTATTTACTAAATATACCGATATGAATTGTTATTTAGACTAAATTTTATGAATGTTTGTATTTTGTTTAGTTTTATATATAATTAATAAAAATTTAATCAAAGTTAAGACTTTTAATAATACTTCGCCTTGTCTTTATAAACTTTTTTTCCGCTTTTTTTTTTATAGGAGAGGGGGCAAACGAGCATGCGGCTCACCTGATAGTAAGTGACTACCGCCGCCCATGAACAACTGCAACACCAGGGGAATCGCAGATGCGTTGCCGGCCTTTTAAAAAGGAGTACGCTCTTTTCTTGAAGGTCCCTAAATCTCTCGCTTATTTTGAGATATAAGCACAAAAGGAAAATAAGTTACAAATTAAAATAACTAAATAAATTTTAATCGAATATAATTTCTTTAATCACATAAAATAAGAGCGACAATTGTAGAAATATTTGCGACCTGAGGTAATCGTAAGTTATCGATGGAACTGCCAGAAAACATTATAGGTTGTAGAGACAGATTGAGAAACCTCTACAAAGATCACTATAAGATTTCAGGACTTGGGACTAAAGTCACAGTTGGACTATTGGTGACAGGAAGATTTACGTGGTAGAGCCATGCTGCAAATATGTTAATAGTATAGTTGTAGCACGAATGGGTCAGCTCAACCGGGGAAGGACCACGCTCTCACAGAATACCAGCGTAAAATAGCATCTTAATGCAGCTGTGTTTCGTATGGTGAGTGTAGAGAACCGGAGACCCATTTTACTGGAAAAGAGGCATTCTATCTTAGTCTTCACGGCTGACAACGCATCTGCATTTTAATTCGCAAATGAAGATAGATGTAGGTGTCTATGGGCCACAGCAACCACTTACCATCAGGTGGACCGTGTGCTCGTTTGTCACCCTTATTTTTAAAAAAAAAAACCAAAACCAGTCTCAATTAGTAAACAATATCAACGTAAATAAACTAATTATTATAGCTCTTGCTAAAATCTATATTTAGTGTAAATGTTAACCTCCCTTCGAATATTTTATTTTTGGGAAAATAAAGAAATAAAAAAAAAGCACTCCTGGAGTAAGGCCATAAACGCTTCACATCTAGGTTGGTGAACGCAGCATTTTATTATTTTGAGTTGTTATTAGTAAGATACTGCTGCCAGTCTCCTGTTTCCATTTCACTCTGACGTCTCCTTACGCTGCCAGTAAGATTATGTCGGAAATGTCAGAAAACCTCTTGGTGTGGTTAATTGTAAAAAATAATAATAGTGTCAGAGCGAATGTTCAACTTGCTCTCCTGTTTACGCAATTAATTACAGCAAGATGCAAGGGCCACCAGACGTCATTTATTTTCTGATGAATGAAATGTGATTGCATGCCTACCTGCTAGCATGGCCAGAGGGCCATTTTCCAGGTATCAAATAATAAGGTACGTAAAAACATTACTCACCTCATGTTAATTCTCGCAGCTGATTTTACGTGAATGTTAGATAATGTCCTTAAAAATCAGTCGTGAATACTCGCAGACACTTTCAGTCGGCAGTATCGCTTTGCAGATGCTGTAAAGCTCTCAAAAAAATTAGGTACTCAATTTCACTTACATTCTAAAGCTCCACTTTTATATATGTTAGCCAGACAACTATTTATAAACGTTATACAAGAAGGCAGCCTGTCATTAGCATTTGTAGAATGATTTAGGCGGAATCCAGTGAACTTTATACTGTTCAAACGAGTTGGGGGTTTCTCGATATACCCTCATTTCTCCGCTAGAGTGATGTAACGTCTCGCTCACTTTCGACTCATCCGGTATTTTGTAGACAAGCCGATAAGTACAATATTATCTTTCATAACAAAATATATATTAACTTGTGTTGTCGATACTATTACAGTATATTACATTAATATATTTATTTCGTTGACCAAAAAGTAAGGCTGACTGGCAGATAATGCTTTTAACATTAAGTTAAACTTTTGTTTTCTATACATTGAGTATGATGCAATAAAGATTTTTTTATATTTAAGCGAACACTACACATTGAATAAAACTACTTTTACGGATTCTATCGCGTTTAATTTACTTATTTTTATTAAATTCCTGACGTTTCATATCCTAGACGGCCCCCGACATTACATTAGATTTGATAAACCAATAATCGTCGCGAAAGAACGTCGATTCCTGCTAAGGATGATACACGAGGCTATTGATATTAAAAAATCCTAATTTCAATAGAGAGGGAGGCTGGGGACTACTACCTGCTTGGGATTCTGTAATTAATAAGATTAAAACTAAACCCAAGCATACCACTGCAAAACTTCAAAACACAGTTAGTTCATCCTGCGTAGATCGGACCAAAACTAATAATTAAAAACCTGAAGGTACTCCGGGTTAACTCTGATATTGGGACATCAATCACCTCAGTTCCCTGTGACCATGGCTGCTGTAAAGCACCCGAAACGCCGGGAATTTAATAAAAATAAGTAAATTAAATGCGATAGAATCTCTAAAAGTAGTTTTATTCGTTGCAGTAAAGAATAAACGTATAAACAGATAAGTAAATTATTTACCGTATTTTGAGGAAAAATGCAAATTGAGAGTGGTTTACAAAATACAATAGAACGACTACAATGAATAAGTTAATTAAATTCACGCTCCAGCTTTTGCTGTACGGACGCTATTAATATATTCTTGGAGAAATTCCACCCGTTGGCATTAAAAAGTGTTTCTTTGGGGAGAAGTAAAAGACATTAAAACGCTTGGACCTCTACTAGTAATTAGAATGGTACTTCCGCTTGCGGGGATTCACTCGTAAGCCAATGCTATTTATTTATTTTTATGGAAGTGGAGGCACATACTGCAAGAGTAGTGGTCAGGATCTAAATAAGACAGAAAATAACTGAGCGTCATGTATAAAGTAAGTAAGTATAATTAAGTTTTTAACGTAGTAGGGCCATGCTGCATTTATATTACTATGGGACGTCTACACCGGGTAAATACCACGGTCGACAGAATTCTAGCGTGAAATAGCAGCTTGATGCTGCTGTGTTTCGTGTATGGTGAGTGTAGTGAATATGAAACCCTTTTAATTGGAAACAAGACATTTCATCATAGTCCTCAGGGGTGAAAACTCATCTGCAATTTGATTCTTAATCGAGGATGATTGTAGTTGTTTATAGGTCACAGTATTAGACAGTGTAATAGGAGTCGAACAGTCCTGTGCTCATTCATCACCCTTATTCTATTCAATAAGAAAAGCTTGACTACAGAAAGTTAAGAGGGCCACCTACCCAGACGGAGGCCCAGTGATATATTATATCTCCTAGTAATATCCAAAAAAAATATATGCGAATTTCCGCGGTGGAGGAATCGTTCGTGTGGCATAACCCTGAGTAACATTGGACCTTTTTCTGCCGACTTCAAAAAGGGGACGGTATTCAATTCGACTGTATGTTTTTTTATGTGTGTTACCTCATAAATTTTTACTCGGTGAACCGATTTCGATGATTCTTTGTTTATTTAAAAGCTGGTACTTCACATGTGGTCCCATATGAATTTGGTCAGACCAATAGTTTTTGAGTTATTCTTAATAATTTATATTGAAGTCGGCTGTACAAAATTTTAAATGATTAAGTCAGTTAATTTAACCTAATCAAGTGCTCTAATACTCTAGTATTCTTCCTTATTATTAGTTATTTTTTTAATATTGATGGTTTAAGAATATCCACTACCCCATATCATCCCGTGGGTGTCGTAAGAGGCGCCAAAACAAATCAAACAAGAGAAAGGTCGTCCTAATAACGACTAAACATAAAAACTTTTGCAAGCGGGTTGGCAATGCCAACTATGAAACAGAAACAGAAACAGAAACAGAAACTTTTTTATTCAATATAGATTATAAATAATACTTATTGAAAGTCACTCTTTTGTATAATTACCACTGGTTCGAAAAAAAGCCTCTGTCCTGGGAAGAACCAGCAAGAAACCCAGCGGGACTTCTTTTTTAAATAACAGCTTACAATCATGTATGTTACACAAATTAACAACACAACAAATTAGAAATAACTTGGTAGCGATCACCTCATTTCCAGGGGTTATTATCATCTATAAATTCTTTAATATTACAATAACCCTTTTTATACAAACTTTTTGAACTAAAACTGCTCAGAGCTAAAACTGCTCAGAGTTCAAAAACTAAAGTTTTTGAACTCTAAACAGGTCAAATTTTGTATATTTTCTGGAATTTTGTTGTAAAAGCGTATACATCGCTCCAAGAACGAATTACTGACTCGATGGAGTCGAGTAACTGGTACTACTAGCTTGTGTCTGTTCCTAGTATTTACAGAATGAATATCACTTATTTTTGTAAAACTACTTTTATTTTTGTGTACGTACATTACATTTTCATAAATGTATTGAGAGGCCAAAGTTAATATATTAATTTCCTTAAATTTTTGTCGCAGCGACTCTTTAGGCTTTAAATCATAAATTGCTCTTATGGCCCTCTTCTGTAAAACAAATATAATTTCAGTGTCAGCTGCGTGTCCCCATAGTAAAATACCATACGACATTATGCTATGGAAATAGCTAAAGTAAACTAGTCTAGCTGTCTCAACACTAGTTAGACTTCTAATCTTTTTTACGGCATATGCTGCAGAACTAAGTCTGCTTGCTAGTTTTGATATATGGGGGCTCCATTGAAGCTTCGCGTCTAGTGTGATTCCAAGAAAAATGGTCGTATCTACAAGACTCAGTTTCTCCCCATTTAAATGGCAAATAGAGATATGGCAAATAGATATGAGATATCTATGCGCGAGGCCTATGATGAGCAGTGAACTTTAATGAGTGTTGTTTAACGTGTGTGTAATGTTCAGTGGCTGTAACAGTAACGCATGAAGATGAAGCTAAGAAAGTGAAAGAATAATAATTTTTTTGAGATTATTTGTTTTAGTTGAGTTCTATTATCGGTGTGTTTACCAATTATTACTTTATATGCA